GCCATAAGGGGCAGGGAGGCCAATGGAGGACTCTGAGGGGATGACGAAGAGAAAGGGCCATGGGGGCTCTGAAGGGAGGAGGATGATGGGGAGAGGCCATGCGGGGCTCTAAGTGGGGTGATTTGGGGAGGAGGAAGAGCCAGGAGGCTCTGGGGGTGGTGACAGGGGGGAGGAGGGAGGGGCCATGGGGGGCGTTGAGGGGGCTGTGGGCGAGGGCTCTGGAGGGCTCTGGGGGATCTCAGGGGGAGAAGGGAGGGGCTATAGGAGCTCCTAGGAGGTGTTAAGGGTCGGGTCGGGTCCAGGAGGCTCTGGGGGTGGTGACAGGGGGGAGGAGGGAGGGGCCATGGGGGGTGTTGAGGGGGCTGTGGGCGAGGGCTCTGGGGGATCTCAGGGGGAGAAGGGAGGGGCTATAGGAGCTCCTATGAGGAGATATGGGGAGGGTCAGGTCCAGGGGGCTCTGAGGGGTGTGACGGGGGAGGAGGGAGGGGCCATGGGGGGTGTTGAGGGGGCTGTGGGCGAGGGCTCTGGGGGATTTCAGGGGGAGAAGGGAGGGGCTATAGGAGCTCCTAGGAGGAGATATGGGGAGGGGAGGGGAGGGTCCAGGGGGCTCTGAGGGGGTGACATGGGAGGGAGGGGCCATGGGGGGCGTTGAGGGGGCTGTGGGCGAGGACTCTGGGGGATCTCAGGTGGAGAAGGGAGGGGCTATAGGAGCTCCTAGGAGGAGATATGGGGAGGGTCAGGTCCAGGGAGCTCTGAGGGGTGTGACGGGGGAGGAGGGAGGGGCCATGGGGGGTGTTGAGGGGGCTGTGGGTGAGGGCTCTGGGGGATTTCAGGGGGAGAAGGGAGGGGCTATAGGAGCTCCTAGGAGGAGATATGGGGAGGGGAGGGGAGGGTCCAGGGGGCTCTGAGGGGGGTGACATGGGGGGGAGGGGCCATGGGCGAGGGGGGCTGGAAGTGACAATGTAACTACAATACCCATAAGGCCTGTCTGTGACGTCATCCCCATTGGCCAAATACGAATTTCCGCGTCCGGGGGCTAAAGCAGGAAATCTCGCTCCTGCCTGGAGACCGGGAGAGACCCGGGCCCGGATTTGGTGAGCTGCCCCTGCAGGCAAAGGGGGCCGGTTCGAGGGGGGAGCCCAGCACGGGGTGGGGGGTGTGGAGCGGGGGGGGGGGGGGGGGGGGGGGCCGGTTCGGGGGGGGGAGCCCAGCACGGGGTGGGGGGTGGGGGTGTGGAGCGGGGGCCGGTTCGAGGGCGGGGGGGCCAGCACGGGGTGGGGGTGTGGAGCGGGGGCCGGTTCGGGGGCCGGGGGGGGGGGTGGGGGGCCGGGGGGAGCCCAGCACGGGGTGGGGGTGTGGAGCGGGGGGCCGGTTCGGGGGGGGGGTGGAGGGGGGGAGCCCAGCACGGGGTGGGGGTGTGGAGCGGGGGCGGGGGGGGCAGCCCAGCACGGGGGTGGGGGGTGCGGAGCGGGGGCCGGTTGGGGGGGGGGGGCAGAGGGGGGGGGTGGGAGGGGGGGGGGCAGCCCAGCACGGGGTGGGGGTGCGGAGCGGGGGCCGGTTCGGGGGGGGAGCCCAGCACGGGGTGGGGGTGCGGAGCGGGGGCCGGTTCGGGGGGGAGCCCAGCACGGGGTGGGGGTGTGGAGCGGGGGCCGGTTCGGGGGGGGGAGCCCAGCACGGGGTGGGGGTGTGGAGCGGGGGCCGGTTCGAGGGCGGGGGGGGCCAGCACGGGGGATGCGGAGGGGAGGCTGGTTGGCATGGGGGGTGAGGCCCACTGCTGGAAGTCTGCGTGGGGGCTGGAGATTCTTTGACCCAGTTCCCCCATAGGCTGAGGCGCTGGTGCATGGCTGCGGAGCTGGTGGCTGCACGGACAATGGGCCCTGAACGGATCTGTCCCAACGAGCATGAGGAGCTGGGGCCGCAGGAGGTGCCTGAGGGAGCCCTGGACCCCCCTGGAGACTGGAGCAGTGAGGAGCCAGAGGAGGAGGAGGAGGAGGGCGGCGATGGCTACTTCTACCAGCCCCTGAGCCAGGATCCAGAGCTGGGGCCGTGGGACACGGGTTCGCTGGCAGCTGAGACAGCCCCTGCGGAGACAGCCCCTGGCATCCACGAGCGATTGCAGGTCACGTGGGGGTGTCTGGCGTGTGGGGGGAGTGCGCAGGGCAGATGGGGTGCTCTGCTGCCATCTTGTGAACTTATTGTGAGTAAAGTGATTTAGGCCCTTGCTGGGCACTGTCTCACCATGACACGAGGAGCTCTGACCCTCACGTGTTTTTGCGGAAGCAGAATTTGAAAGCACCTGACTCCCCTCACAATGCCCTGTAAGCCTAGGGGCACTAAACTGCATCACTGGAGATCATGAGTCCTAGTCCCAGCCCTTCCACTAACTGCTGTAACTATTCCTTGCACTTCACATCCCGGATCAGCCAGAGGCTCCTACTGCTGCCTTGGGGGCTAACATATCGATCACCCTTTCCACAGACAGAGTAAATGAGAGCTTATACAAAGTCCCTTCTGGCAAAGCTGGAAGTAGTGCTCAGATCTCTGCAACTTGGCTCTGTTCCTTTATGTACTTTGTGTGTCTCCTTCACCCTGTCTTTCAGAAATAATAGTCTGTGACCCACCCTGACACAGTATGGCTCAGTCACCTTTTAGCAGCTGGGCCCCATAGATGTTTATGGCTCCATGCTAAGAGAGCTTGTTCTTTGCACATGATTTTATAGACCTCTATCACATGATCTCATGACTTTATAGATCTCTATCACATCCCCGCCCTTAGTCTCCTCTTTTCCAAGATGAAAAGTCCTAGTCTCTTTAATCTCTCCTCATATGGGACCTGTTCCAAACCCCTAATCACTTGTTGCCCTTTTCTGAACCTTTTCTAATGCCATGAGGGGACCACATCTGTATGCAGTATTCAAGATGTGGGCGTACCATGAATTTATATAAGGGCAATAAGATATTCTCTATCCCTTTTTTAATGATTCCTAACATCCCGTTTGCTTTTTTGACTGCCGCTGCATGCTGTGTGGACGTCTTCAGAGAACTATCCATGATGACTCCAAGATCTTTCTCCTGATTAGTTGTAGCTAAATTAGCCCCCATCATATTGTATGTATAGTTGGGGTTATCTTTTCCATTGTGCATTACTTTACATCTATCCACATTAAATTTTGTTGCCCAATCACTTAGTTTTGTGAGATCTTTTTGAAGTTCTTCACAGTCTGCTTTGGTCTTAACTATTGTGAGCAGTTTAGTATCATCTGCAAACTTTGCCACTTCACTGTTTACCACTTTCTCCAGATCATTTATGAATAAATTGAATAGGATTGGTCCTAGGACTGACCCTTAAGGATCACCACTAGTTACCCCTCTCCATTCTGAAAATGTACCATTTATTCCTACCCTTTGTTCCCTGTCTTTTAACCAGTTCTCAATCCATGAAAGGATCTTCCCTCTTATCCCATGACAACTTAATTTACGTAAGAGCCTTTGGTGAGGGACCTTGTCAAAGGCTTTCTGGAAATTGCAAATGTTAAAAGTTCCCATCTAATGGATGTTTGTTTATTGTATAGATAAGATGTGTGTGTGTGGGGGGGAGGAGGAGTGTGTTACAGACACATTATTATGCTTGCACTAGTTTCAAGGCTTTTCAGAGCCAGGCCTGTCTCTTATGGGGCCCTGAGCTCAGTTGTGTTCTTCAGTGACAGCTCTTTCAACAGGGCCCAGAACTGCATTACGCACTCTAAATTTGTCAGCGTTGGCAGCACTGATTTTGGTACACTGAGTGAGGGAGGAGGGGAAGTTAAATCAAGACAGACCAAAAATCCTGACCTAGTCTTGTATTAAATCTCATGATTTTGGGGGATCTGACTCATGACTCTTTGGGTTGGCAACACTGGGGAGCATGCTGAGGCAGAAGTGTAATGAGGGGCTGTACAGGAGGATGGATGCAGAGGGAGACTGTTTCTGCCCCAGGCTTTGCTGAAACTTATGAGGATTTTGTTGTGCACTGCAGATGCTGAGGCTGCATCTGCCAGACCCCCCTGTGGATAGCGAGGAGGAGGAGGAGGACGGAGCTGCAGCTCAGAGCAGCCGAAGTTCCATCCCTATGGATCCAGGTAAGAGAATCCCCTTCCCTCTATTCTAGACTGAAGTGGCATTTGTTGGGGCTAGAGAAAGAGGCAGGTCTCTCATGCTGGGCGTGGTATCAACACCAGTACCTGGCTGCTTGGAGGTGGAGCAGAGCTCCCAGAGTCTGTCTGTCTGAAGGCTTTGGGCCTGGGTGCTGTCTCAGCAGCAGCATCTGGTCTCATGCTCTGACTTTGTTTGGCTCTAGCACATGTGGAGTTGGTGAAAAGGACGATGGCTGGTGTGAAGCTCCCGACCCTGGGAATCCCCACGTGGGCCAGCGAGATCTCAGATGATCAGTGGACGGCTATGGTGCAGCGAACGCTGCAGGCCAGGCAGAGTCTCAGCACCTCTAGGCCGGAATGGAAATGAAGTGCAGAGCCAGGGTCAGGTCCCTCTGTACTCGGCTACATCAGCTCTCCTGAAAGTGCTACCCTCTGCACTTTAACCTCCGGTTATGTATGGGAGGTCGACCACTGCCATCCTTCTCTGGACGCGTCAACAATGTGACTTTACCTCCCCATGGTGCTGAAGCGCTAAGATGTTCAGTTTGTCTCCCACTGAGGAAATCTGTTTCCTTGTCTCTTCCTTTCCCACTCCTAGCTCTTGGATAGTTTGATGTCAGTTATTGTGGTGTCCTCATGCTAGCCCAGTAGTAGTTCTCCGCCCCTAAGGAACCAGACTGCCTTCGTAACCTCCAAGGGCAGAGCGTTTATTGGCTCTAGCCAGGTCTGTCTGTGAGGAACAACAGATCTGCACTAGGTGCCATGGATCACAATGAGGGAAAGGGTATTTCCCTCCTCACCCATGCATGTGCTGTCGAGGGCAAACAGCTGTGCTATACCATGTCACAGGAGGTGGAGTCCAGGGTGTTGTCTTTTCAAGAGATCCATTTTATTTAGTTCTGTACATACAGGGACATCTGTACAAAATCCAACACTTTCATACTATAATGCTCTACTGAAAATAAAGTACACCATATGTACATATGACCTGTAAGCAGTTTAATACTTGTGTCCAGGGGGTGACTGCATTGTTTAGTTTTGCTTTTCCCTCATGAGGGGAGGGGCTAGGTGAGAAGTGGCAGAGGCAGCTCCATCTCTGTTTGTGTGAGTGGGGAGGGCACAGGCAGAATGCTAGGAAATAAATTTTGTACAGAAGACAACTGTGGCATAGCAGACAGTTACCAGCGGCCGAGTACTAGCTGTAATTCTGTTGGATGATAGTTCTGCAGAGGTGCCACACGCACTCACCCCTTTCTCACACTGCCCCACCTTACATATCTAGGACATGGGAATGAATAGGCAGCAAACAAAATTTAAAGGACTAAACACAAAATTCCCTGCCCCACAAGAAGATTAAAAAGAGGGCTCTGTATACATCTACGTCATCCAGCCCACAATGCTCCATCACTATGCCGCAGTGTGCAACCCAACCAGGTAGTAGTGCTGGCTTGGTTAGAAATGGAGGCGGAAAGTTTCACTGCTACTCCCTTCAGGACAGGCCCCAGAGCCGGCCCCCCAGGAAAATCCCAGCCTGAAATGCAGCTACATCCTCCATCTCTTCTACTGCCAAACCACTTCTCTACAGGATTCAGGCCATCTACTCCCTGTGCACTCTCCACTGGGGCAGGTGCCTGCTCCCTGGAACCTTCTGGAGCATTTCAGAGGTGGGCTGACAGGCAGCTTGCTTCATTGAAGGCTCTTGCTAATGTGTGTTACAACCCCAAGGCCAAATCACTTCTTCGTTCTTCCCATTCCCTTGCAAACCCCTTCCATTTCCTCAGCCCAGTGCCCCTTTCTGCTCCACCTGTGTTACAAAGGGCTCAGGAACCCATCCCCACGGACTCCTGCATACCTTCCTTGCCCCTACTCCAGGATAACAGCTGCTATGTAGCCAATGGAGGTGCTGGGCCAGGCATGCGGTAAGTGTTTAGCACCTGGCTCCATGCTAACAATCACATTCAAAATAAGCAGTCATTGTCCCAATCTGTGATTCATGGATCCAGAAGAGACTTTAAGTAGCCCACAGGGTGAAGCAGATAGAGAGGCCATTCTGTTTAGGGCTGGGAGGGAAGAGAGAAAGATCTCCAAAGGATTAAAGAACCTACTATTTAAATTACCATCCCCCCCCACCTCTGCTGGGGGAGACAGGCACATCTAGCATGAGGGAATTCAAAAGAACATGAATGAGCCAGGGTGTAGAAGGAATGACTTAGGAAAAAGGTAAACAGGGGGAGGGGGAAGGGATGGGCAGGGGAAAGGAGATATCTGTGAAGGGTCTAAACAAGGAGAGGAATTTAACATGAGTTAGGGGTCAGAATTAAAAGTAGGGGCTAGGGGGTGAAGTTAAGGAAGAGAAAACAGGCTGAAGGTCAGGAGTGAGAAGTATGAGGCTAGAGCACTGTCTCCCAAGAGGAAACCCCGACAGACAGACAACACAGAGATGGAGCAGGGAATACCCTTAGATATGAAGAGCAGACCTGATACTCTAGGGCTTTTCCTTTTGTAATTTTCCATGATTTGGAAATGCAGTTAGGGCTTGAGTGGGTTGGTCAGTGCTGTCAATCTGTGTTATGAGTGAGGCCAGTATTTGTTTAAAGGTAGCATAGAATAGCGAACCCACTCATGCCCTTTAAAAACTAGTCTCCCCAGGGTGACAACTGGGAGAGCTGTGATACAAAATAGAGTGTTCAGGAGAGAACCACCAAAACACTGCAGCACCCCGGCCAATAGCACCCACAGATTACCTGCCAGGATGAAGGCCCTGGGCTACTGACAAATACATTCCTAATGATGAAGTAGTATAACTATCCCTTCTATGCTACAAGAGAACTAACAGCTGCACAACAGACAAGAGAACTAGCCTCCTACATGGCCAGCGTAAGGCGAGCCTCACTCAACGCCTGCAGCAGCTACAGATTCCAAAATGCAGAGGCAACAGAATGCTCCCAAACTTAAAGTGGACCAAGACACGCCTATCACTTTACTGCCAGTGGCTTACAGGAGTGAGGCTATCCGCACAAGCTTCCTGGACACGACAGCGGGTGTAGCGATGGAGCAGCAGATGCCCCCGTGATATGGCAACAAACCACGGCTAGCACAACTTCGGGTTGAGTATGCAGACACATCACAGAGCAGGGACACATTGGTCACGTGCCCCTGAAATAGCATGTTGAATTCGGGCACTTCATTACTGGAAATACAGTGACAAGTTTGAGGGAACTCAAGACAGGAGCAACAATGGTTGGAGGAAGTGACAATCTTTCCTCATTAGAGCTTGGCCAATAAAAACCTTTCAGGGGTGGGTGGGGGGGGAATCATGCTAAACGAAGAAGGGAGAGGGTAATTAGTTGAGGGTGGTACAAAGGAATACAAGTAATAATGGGCTTACATTCAGAGACTGCAGAGCACTTCACCCAGCAAAGGATTAGCCCACCTTATGGGGGGGGGGAGGGGAGAGGAGGAGAGAATAGACTGGGGAGATTCAATTAAGTAAAGAAAAAGATAAGGTAAATATCTGTTTTCCTGCCAAGCCAGATTATTAACCAGTGGAATCACCTCCCATCAAGAACAGTTACAATTCGACTGGAAAAGACCCTTGAGAATTCACTGTAGTGAACAAACCTGCCCTGTGGATGGACTTGATTCAACCAGCTGAGCCTCTCTCCGCTGTTATGGCTACAGTTCTCTGATGCACAGATGGAGCAGGGTGTGGGTGTGGAGGATGGTCCATGCACAGGGCCTTGGGCTGTGTGCAGAACCATGTGATGTAGTCTCTGGCTGAGAAATCCCATCCAGACACTGAACATTCGGGAGGCTTTGGTCCTGCGTCAGTAAGCAGCAGGGAATGGAATGAATCCTGCCTGGAATGATGCAGAAATGGACTGGTTGGGCTCCCTTTGCAAACGCACACACAAAACAGCGTTAAAGAAAAAAGCAGGAGGATGTGACAATGCAATGAGATACGAGGTACAATGTAAAACCAAATCTACCCTGAAAGAATGAGAATGGCGTGGACAGGCACAGCTCACCATGTTCATTCCCTAGTTATACATTAGAACCAAGTGCATTTCTGGGTACCCCTGGTGGGGAGGGAATGGGGGCCAGGCCTCCCAGGGCAGCTCCCTAACCCGTCAGAGCGCCTCTTGGCTTGAGGTGAGGAATTCTTCTGCTCTCTTGTGGGCCTCCAGGGCTTTTATAGTGTAGACATCCTGAGGAAGCTCAGATTTCCGACGCAGCAAAACCTTCTCCTTCTTGATGTCTTTCAGCATCTAGAGATAAAGTCCATGGTCAGCGCTCAGCTTCTGGAGATGAACTAACCTCCCACCCAGCGAGAGCCCCATGCCCCTCACTCTCACCCAGATCAACTTTGATCATCTCCCCTTCCCCCAGCCCAGAGGGAACAGAGGAGGCTCTTGCTCATGTGCCCCTTGCCTCACCCTGTGAGAAGAGACAAAGCTGAGCAGTAACAGCAGGGCTCCACCCAGCTGCCTATGTTTAAGGAGGCCCCGCTGGCTGGGGAGGGATTCTGCCTTCTACCCAAAGCCACACGCGGCCCTACCAAATTCATGGTCCATTTTGGTCAATTTCACAGTCATAGGATTTTGAAAATCACAAATTTCATGATTTCAGCTATTTAAATCTGAAATGTCAGGGTCTTGTAATTTTAGGGTTCTGACCCGAAAAGGGGGGGGAGGGGGAGAGGGTCACAAGGTTACTGTGGGAGTGAGGGGGCAGCAGTACGGCCATCCTTACTTCTGCACAGCTGCTGGTGGCGGCGCTGCCTTTGGAGCTGGGCAGCTGGCCGGGACCCAGCTCTGAAGGCAGAGCTGCTGTAAGGATGGCTTGGTATGGTGTTGCTACCCTTCTGCGCTGCTGCCTGCAGAGCTGGGACCTCAGTCAGCAGCGGCCGCTCTCCGGCCACTCGGCTTGGAAGGCAGCAATGCAGAAGTCAGGACGGCATGGTGTGGTCTTGCCACCCTTACTTCTGCACTGCTCCTGGCAGGGTGCTGCCTTCAGAGCCGGGGGGAGGGAATGGGGGCCAGGCCTCCCAGGGCAGCTCCCTAGCCCGTCAGAGCGCCACTCTCCGCTTGCCCAGCTCTGAAGGCAGCGCAGAAGTAAGGGTGACAATACTACAACCCACCTAAAATAACCTTGTGACCCCCTGCAATTCCCTTTTGGGTCAGGACTCCTGATTTTGCTAGTCTCCCCCATGAAATCTGTATAGTATCAGGTAAAAGCACACAAAACACTAGATTTCACGGTCTGTGACACGTTTTTCATGGGCGTGAATTTGGTAGGGCCCTAACTATAGACACACTCCTGGGCTCACATGTGACCTCAGCACGACTCAAAGGGGAGCTGGACATTCATATGGAGCGCAAGACTATGCGGAAGTATAACAGCCAATGCTAAATTTTTGAAGGGCGATAAATCCTCCTCCTTCAGGGTTTAAGAATCTCTAACTGTCTCACCTCTTCCTACTGTGGAGTTTTTAACGTTTCCTCTGAAGCATCTGGTGCTGGCCCCTGGATACTGGACTCAGCTCTGATCCAGTCTGGCAATATCTTTGTTCTAATGGAACCACCTATAGTGGAGGGACGGCCTCTGAGGAACTCTGCCTAGGGTGCTGGACCATGACTCACCTGCACAGCCTCTGTTTCCACTGTTTTCTTCAGTAGCTGAATGTCCTCGGCAGTTGGGGTCTCTGTCTCCATGCAGTAAACAGGAGGCAAAGGTGGGGGCGCGTAATACATGGGGTACTGCAGACAATCCGAACAATCCGGGAGGTTAGTTCAGCACGCAGGCACACAGCACTCCCGCACCAGAATCCCCCATGTCTGGCTGGGCCCCAGGGGAATTTCACATGCTCCCAACCTAATACTGCAAAGCACCTTCTACACCTCAAGCCAGCACAAAGGGGTTAGACAGTATTCCTGAGCCAGGGAGACTCCTGCCCTTCGCTGTTCCCACTCTGCCTGCTGAGCAGTGGTGGTGTGCCATGCACAATGCCTAGGCTGGCACAGCAGGAGAGTGCCGGCCACTGGCACACTCCCTACTTGATAACCTGGAACACACCTAGGCTTTCCAGGGGACAGTTGCTCCTCCCGTATCAGATGGTCAATGCCACTGAAGTAAGAGGCCAGCTGGGAGACTGGAGGTATCTCCACTAGCTTGGCAACATCCTCAGGTAACTGCATTTCATGACAACAATAGGGGACTGAGACTCAGGCTGCCACTGGGGCTCCATGGCTGGTCAGGACCTTCTGCGAGGAGGAGCCCAGTGACAGGTTCTGCTCTTTGCAGGCCAAGGCAGCAGGCGTTTGGAACCCCAACGCTCTCTCTCCCGTCCATCCCATTCCGAGTGACGACATTACCTGGGGGTTCTGCCGGGCCAGCTCCTCAACCTTGTGCCACATCTCTTCTCGCTCCCTCAGCCTGAACCTCCCTCTGCCGAGAAAGGGAAGAAGTTAAACTCTAGGGAAACGTGGCAGAGATGGAAATCCGATGGGGGGCCTGGAGACAGCAGGAGACATGGGGGGAGGGGAAGTGAAAAGGGGGTCACTAATTTTGTCCTTTACAACAAAACAATTTCTGGGTGAGGGTAACACCTGGAAACTGGGAACACCTGGCAGCTGGAGGAGGATGCATTCCATTCAGTGTGCCTGGGAAGATTTTGGGTGGGCACAGAATGGCTGTCTGTCTTTGGGGGGTATCAGATTGCAAGCTGGGGGATAGTTGGAGGGTAAAGCACTTGGAAGTGGGTTGTCTGAATGATCAGTTCACGTGTTTGAGTTTGGAGGAGGGAAGCATGTGGATCTGTCCCCAGGATTTCGTGCTGAGGCTAGTTTGGAGTTACCACTCTCGTTCCCCAGGCAAGGCACAGGAACACTGCAAATGCCCTACCAGATCCAAGCGAGGGTCCATCTAACTCAAGGTCCCTCTCCAACACTGGCCAGGACCAGAAGCTTCAGAGGATGGCACAAGAAAGCCTCAGGTGAGCAAATCACAGATTTTTCATACAGTTTAAGTCCAGAAGGAACCATCTGATCATCTAGTCTGATCTCCTGTATAACACAGGCCAGAGAATGTCACCCAGTTACCTCTGCATTGAGCCAAACAACTTGGGTTTGGCAGATCTTCCAGAAAGGCTCCAGTCTGGGCCTGAAGGCATCAAGAGATGGAGAATTCACCAGTGCCCATGGGAGTTTGTTCCGAGGGCTAATCACCCTCACTGGTAAAAATCTGCACCTTATTTCTAAATACATTTTGTCTGGCTTCAGCTTCCAGGTGCTGGTTGTTGGTCTGCCCATCCCTGCTAGACTAAAGAGCCCTTTAGTACCTTGTACTTTCTCCCCATGAAGGCATGTACACACTAATCAAGTCACCTCTCAATCTTCTTCTGATAAACTGAACAGATCGAGCTCTTTTGAGTCCCTCACTCCACGGCGTTTTCTCCAGCTTGTGGCTCTTTTCTGCATCTTCTTCAAATTTACAACATCCTTTTTAACATGCGGACACCACAACCGGAAGCACTTGTGAAGTTGCACTCCATATGCTTTATGAAAAGATGCTTATAAATGTGACTATGATGTAACTGGAATATGCTTTATGCAAAAGGTCTCTTGTAAGGTATCATAACAAAGTTTAAATTTATTGAGTGTGTTCACCTGATTGGTCGCATGTGTTATTTCTATGTCTGGAGTTAGGAGAATAAGATGTAAATGGCTCTTACTGAAGTAAACATATTAAGTGGAAGCCATTAAGGGTGCTTCAGAATCAGTGACCTGTACATGGCTCTGTTTATCTGCAGGCCTTCCTGTGTACGTGTGGGCCAGCCCAGGAAGAATGGAGGCTGGGGTCTCACAGGACATGTGACCATGTCACCTGATACTGGAATCCATCTTAAATCTGGGACTTTTCCATTTAGAAGGAGGGGTGGGGACCCAGAGAGACAAAAGATTCCCGCCTTGTGCCAAAGCTAGAAAAGGGGGTGGAGCAGGACAAAAGGGGCTGCCAGACATGAGAAAACACCTAGTTATCACTTAACATGTCTGCTGGAACTAACAAGGACTGTACCAGGGAAAAGGATTGGGTCCAGACTAGGAAGGAGTCTAGTCTGTGAAAGAAGCTTATTGGAACATCTCTGAGGGTGAGATATTTCCTGTAATCAGTTTCTTAATGTATTAGGCTTAGACTTGTGTGTTTTTGCTTTATGACTTACTTTGTTCTGTCTGTTATTACTTGAAACCACTTAAATCCTACTTTTTATACTTAATAAAATCACTTTTGTTTATTAACAAACCCAGAGTAAGTGATTAATACCTGGGGGAGCAAGCAGCTCTGCATCTCTCTCTATCAGTGATATAGAGGGTGGACCATTTATGAATTTACCCTGTGTATGCTTTATACACAGAGTAAAACGGATTTATTTGGGGTTTGGATCCCATTGGGAAATGGGTGTCTGGGTGCTGGAGATAGGTAACCTGCTGAGCTGTTTTCAGTTAAGTCTGCAGCTTTGTGGGCGTGGACCAGACCTGGGTCTGTGTTGCAGCAGGCTGGCATGTCTGTCTCAACAAGGCAGGGTTCTGGAGTCCTAAGCTGGCAGGGAAAATGGACTCGGAGGTAATTTCAGAACGTCAGGTGACAGTCCCAAGGGAATCTCTGTGACCGAACCCGTCACAGCAATATTCCAATATTGCTATCACCAATGCAGTATGCAGAGGTAAAAATCACTCCTCCCTGCTCCTACTCACTATTCCCCTATTTCTACATCCAAGGACCGTATTAGCCCTGTTTGCCACAGGATTATATTGGGAGCTCACATTCAGTTGATTATCCAGAATGGAACCCCTGTATTTTTTTTTTCAGTCCCTACTTTCCAGGATACAGTCTCCCATTCTGAAGGGACTGGCAGCATTTCTTGTTCCAAGATGTATGGCCTTGCATTTGGGCTTCATTAAAATGCATTTTGTTTGACTGGGCCCAGATTACCAAGAGATCCTGATTGCTGTGTGTCACTGAGCCCTTTCCTCAGCGTTATTTACTACTCCATCATTCTTTGCGTCAGCAGTAATTTCATCCTTACGACCACATCACGCTTGAAAATGCTGACTAGTGCCTCCCTAGTACCAATCACTGCAGAACCCCACTACAAATACCCTTGTTCTATGATGATTCCCCGTTGAGGGCTACTTTCTGACACCTGTCAGTTAGCTAGTTAATTCACTTAATGTGCACTCTTGCCGATATTGTACAGTGCGCAACTAAGTCAAATGCTGACAAAAGTCTCGGTAGGTTACATCTATGCAGGTGCCTTTATTGACCAATTTGTAATCTCACCAAAGAACAAAATTGCGATTCTTTACCAAGACCTATTTCCCATAAACCCACGCTGACTGGCATTACAGTCCTATGATATACATGTGCAACGCCATTCCATAAGGGAAGTTTCTTCCTACTCCCATCAGTCAGAGACTGGTTTTATGCCCTGCAGCAGGACATTTTTTAATTCCATCTGATGTTACAAGAGGCCACGTACCAGCCTTTACTCATTCTCCCACTATATTGCCTGTACAGACACACTGTGGGAGTGGCCTGCCCAGCCAGAATGCACAAAGCCTTTCTGAGCAGTCGGTGGCTGGGAAAGCCCTGCGTTCTACAAACTGAGGGTAGAGATACCCTACCCCCTCAGTTCCCTCCGCTCCACAACCAGCTAATAAACCTGTAATTAGTTTACTATAGAATTGGTTGCCAGTGTAGTCTTTGGAGTAAGATCTGGGGTAAGTGATTGGTCTCTTGGGACTGGGAGCAATCTGATGTGTGATTTTTGGTTTAGGTGACCATTATCACTAAGTTCAGTTTGCCTGTGTGGCAAGATAGATTGAGAGTCTAAGGCAGGGGCAGGCAAACTTTTTGGCCTGAGGGCCACATCAGGTTTCCAAAATTGTATGGAGGGTCAGTTAGGGGAGGCTGTGCCTCCCCAAACAGCCAGGCGTGGCCCGGCCCCCGACCCCACCTGCTTCTCGCCACCTGACGGCCACCCCGGGACTCCTGCCCCATCCACCACCCGTAACTGCCCCCCGCTGCCCCATCCAACCCCCCTCTCCTTCCTGACTGCCCTCCCGGGACCCCTGGCCCCATTCAACCCATGTTTCCAGCTCTCTGACCGCCCCGCCCCCTTTCCACACCCCCAGCCCCTGACCACCCCCTCGAACTTCCCTGCCCTCTATCCAACCCCCCGCCCCCTTACCGCGCTGCCTGGAGCACCGGTGGCTGGCGGTGCTACAACCGCACAGCACAGAGCACCGGGTCAGGTCGGGCTCTGCAACTGTGGTGCCCCAGGAGCCTGCAGCCCCACCGCCCAAAGCATTGTGCCCGCGGTGTGCTGAGGCTGCGGGGGAGGGGGAACAACGGGGAGGGGCGGGGGACTAGCCTCCTGGGCCAGGAGCTCAGGGGCCGGGCAGGAGGGTCCCGCGGGCTGTAGTTTGCCCACCTCTGGTCTAAGGGGACTGCCTGTGACTTCATGGTAAGACTGGTATAGTGATCCAGGAGTTCACATTTGCTACTGGCTTGGTGAAATCTAATTGTAGAACACACTACCAACTTGGGGTGTTGGCCCTGTTTTCTCACCATCTGCCCTGAGGTTGGCACTCACAGTTGCGAGAGGCTCCAGACAGTGATCATGAAGGCGTGTCCACAACTCCACCCAGCCGCCCCTCAGCTTTCACACAAGGCAGTGTGGACACATGCTCCTGAGCCTGCCATCCCTATAGCTGCACCAGGCCCAAGCTACTGAGGTACAGACGATCAGCTAGTTCATAGGAGGACCAGATGCACCATCTTATAGGGCTTGACCTTCTGATTTTTCTCCAAAGGTCTGGCCTTCTGAGCAGCTTAACCCTGTTTAAGGAGTAACTAATCGCTCTTTGGACATCAAGGTGCATGGCCTCATTTCTCCTGAAGGGCTATGGGGCTCTAGAAAAGGATACCAGCATTGCTATCAACTCACTCAGTGTATGGCCCAGGGGAAATGGGCATGCCTTGAACTGCCCAGTGCTGCTCACAAAGGTTGTGTGGCTGCACGGCTGCAAGGTGCGGGAAGTGATCAGTTCTGCAGAGGCAGGCACTGTGGGTGGTCATTAACCATTTAAATCATAGACTTTAAGGTCAGAAGGGACCATTATGATCATCTAGTCTGACCTCCTGCACAACGCAGGCCATGGAATCTCACCCACCAACTCCTGTAACAAATCCCTAACTTATGTCTGAGCTTAAAGACTTCATGGCTTAAAGACTTCAAGGTGCAGACACTCCTACAGTAAGTGACCTGCGCCCCATGCTGCAGAGGAAGGTGAAAAACCGCCAGGGCTTCTGCCAATCTGCCGTGGGGGAAAAATGTCTAATCCTTTTTTGAATCGTCCTAAACTCTTGGCCTCAGTGATACCTTGTGGCAGTGAGTTCCACGGCTAACTATGCCTGGTGTAAAAATAAGTTTCTTTTTATCCGTTGCACATTGGTTGGCTATCAGCCTTATGCGACATCCCCTTGTTCTTGTGCTATGACACAAGGTGAACAGGAACATCCAACATACCTTCCCTATCCCTGTAATTATTTTGTATACCTCCTATGTGCCCTCTTCTTTCTAACCTAAACAGTCCTCATCCTTCTCAATCTCTCCTCTCCTCAGTCTGTCACTGAATGGGGCAGGGTCCTATGGAAAAAACAGCACGTAATCATGTAATTACAGACACTATTATAATACATATGCACAAGAGGGACGAATTAATATTGCACAGGCAACCTTTACACTGGCATTTCCTATCTTCTAAGCGCTTGACTTTGCAATGTTAATAATGTTCTTTGAACACAGTTTTGTGCATGTAACTTGCTAACTTTGAAAAAAGCAAGCTGAAAACACACAAATTCCATCATGTGGCATCAAATTGACCCCCAAATGGTCATCAGCTGGGTTGGAAATTTTAGAACCACCCCACTGACCTCTGCAACTTGAGCTAACAGAATAACTGACAGCATTAGTAGATTATCCTCCTCTATGTGGGCCAGCACTAGAGGAGAATGAGACACACACTTCCCCAGTCGATTTCACAGGTATTTACTGACAGCAGAGGAACGGTGAGACTCAGGAATCGTGGACTCCGTTTCAGGCTCTGGAGGGGAGTATTTCTAATGGGCACAGACTCTTCTGCCCTGTCCCCTACAACCTGCTTGGCCCCAGTCCCGTTTCTTCCCTACCTCAGCTCTTCATCCCAGTCCCATTCTCCTTGTGAAGAATCACAGGTCTTGAACCGAGGCCCGCAGACAGTGCTCTGCTGTAGCTACTACCCAGCGGAAAACCCAAACCAGTAGAGAAGGGTGCTAGCAAAGCTCTAGTTCACAAAGTCCCCTCCACAAAGCTCCTAACTGGGGAGAATATCCAGCCCCATTCATTGGCTGGGAGGCACTACTTAAACCCAAAAGAGGCATAGGAGGTTGTCCAAGGTAAATCCTGGGCTGGCTACTACTGTACTATGGACACTGTCTACTTGCCTGATTCCTGAGCCCTGTCTTCCTGCCTCCCAGCCTGTTCCTGATTTCTGCCCTCTTTATCCAAGTTCCCATCTGCTCCCGGTTCCTGCTTTCCTACCTCACTCCAGGTCTCTGTTCCTAGACCCTACCGCTGATGCTGACTCCGGCTCCAGCCCTCAGCTTGGCACCTGGCTCCAGATCTAGCCCTGGCCCCTGGCTTGGTGCCTGGCTCTGGTCCTGGTTCCAGTTCTAGGCACCTGACTCTAACCATTAGGCATGACTGCCCATGCTCTGGTCCCTGTATGCCTCACCTAACCAGTCCGAGTTTCGCCCCTCTGGACTCTCCATCCCAGGTTCCCCCACAACCAGTCCCAGTCTCCTAGCCCAGCATATCCCGGTTCTCCTTCCTCCTGGCTCCTCATCCAGGCTCCTTCCCCACTCACTCACAGTCCCAATCTTCTTCCCTGGGCTCCAATTTCAGTGTCCCGCGTGTCCATTGCCTTGTCTCTTTGTCCCAATCTCTTTGCCCAGCTAGTGCCAGTTCTCCCCTTGCAGCCCGGCTCTTTGTCAGGTCTCTCTCTGCTCCAACTCCCTCATGGGTCCTCAGCCCCAGTCTCCCCCTGGTTCCTCATTCAGTCTCAATCCCCCCGATACTGCTTCCCAGAATCCCAGTGCCAGTCTTCCCCGGCTCTAAGTACTGGTCTCCTTGCCCAGCCAGCCCCAGTTTCCCTCACCCTAACTTCCAGGCCCAGTGTCCCTCTCCCCACCCCTGCCAAGCTCCAGTCCCAGCCTCCCCCTCAGGCTCCTTGTCCCAATCTACTCTCCCCACTACTTTGCTGGTCTGGCTCTTGTCCCTTCTGCATTGGAGTCAGCCAGCTCTCATCTCCACACTGCCTGGGCCCAGCAGCCAGGGGATCATTAAGAGCACAGGAAAGAATCTCCCTGCTCTCAGACCAGTGCCTGGACCCAGCACAGCCCAGAGCTGCAACTGCAGGGAAAGTCCTGCTCAGCCCTGGGCTGAAGCATGCCCAGTGTAGATCGAATCCTTGGGGAATTTAGCTGCGAAACTCTCGCACATCTCTACTCGACAACTGGGTAAAATTTGGGCAGATTTTCACATGGGATCTCAAGAGGCATATCCCTGCCACAAAAGTCACCTCCTGCCACATTTCAAATCACTGCTCCAAAGCGGGGGGGTCCGGGGGGGCAGAAGAATACAGCTTTTCACAGACCAGGCTGTCAGAAATTTTTAACATGAGCAAAACAACGTAGTTCCATGCTTCCATACATTTTATGTTCTCTGACCAATTTTGGCTGAAATTTTCTAAAACCATGCAGTCAGAGCCAGACCCCCTGCATGGAAAATGTCAGCCGGAACAGTTAAAGTGTGGAAAAGTCATAAGTTAATGAAAACAAGGTGTTTTAGGGTGTGTCTACTACTGCAGCTCAGACTCCCACCCAAGTACCTCCATGCAGGTGGCTGGGCGGGTTTGTACTTGGGTGGCTTGCCTGAGCTGTGGCCACGCTACTGTTTTGAGTTACTAGCTGGAGCAGAGCAAACAAGTCTGTCTATCTGCACCGGAAAGCACCTCCCAGCTGCAGTGCAGACATACCCTTAATGCAAAGTGCTGGGCAACCCCACCTACATTACAGATATATTCCTTCTTACAGCAACAGCCCTAGTATGGACCCTTGGGAAACCCTCACTGTCATCAGCTTTCAGTGTGACAAAGTTCATTTATCCCAGCTCTTCGTTTTCTCTCTCTTAACCACTTTCTGATCCATGACGGAACTTTACCTCTCAGCCCAGGGCTACTTTGTTTCCTTACTAGCCTCCTGTGAGCGACTTGAAACGCAAAATAAATGATGCCATCCTGTTCTTTATCCACTGTTCTTCTGATACCTTCAAAGGGCTCTGCTAGGTCAGCGAGGAAGAACTTTCCTTGGCAGACGCCATGCAGGCCTTTCCTCAGCCTATCCTGTTTTACTAGGTATTTTTTATTCTAGTTTCAACCTACTTACCAAGTACCAAAGTAAGGCTCGCAGGGCTGTAACTACCCCCAGAGACATTTTAAAAATAGGTACAATATTTGTTACCCTCCAGTCCTTGGTACAGTACCTGACTTTAACAAGCATGTACGTATTAGCAGCTCAGCCACTTCATTCCTACATTCCTTCACAACTCTTGGATGTATCACTAGGGGCTGGGGACCAGAGCCCCTTTAATTGATCAATTTATTCCAGCACCTCCTCTTTTGACAACTAATCCCAGACAATTCTTTATAATATGAGAACAGCAGATACCTCCCCAAATGTCCTCTGTAGGGAAGGCTGCAAAGAAATCATTATGGCCCCAATTCAGCAAAACCCTTAAGCAGAGACTTAATTTTTAAGCATGTGCTTAGGTTCCATTGAAGTCAATGGGAGACGAGAAGGTGCTTAAATGCACTGCCGAATCAGGGCCTTCGTTTCTCTGCAGCGTCCTTCTCCTCCTCCACTTCTCCCTTTGTTCTGTGATGGCCCAGCAAACCTACCAGTTCTGCCACAGGCTTCCTGCTTCTGATAGACTGACAGGATTTCTCAGTTGTTTTTAGCTTTTTGCTCTTCAGTGTCCACCTCTGCCATCCTAATTTCCATCTTGCTTTTTTCCTGCTTTCATTTATACTCCTTCCCTTTGGCTTCCCTAGATTCTGAACAGTCCCTGTTTGACCTGAGCAACCACTTAAACCTGACTGCTAACCGTACTGGCTTTTAACTTGCCTCCAGGACTTTCACCACATGGTCAAGGAGACTCAGATATTAGTTTAAATCAGCTGTGGGGAGGCACCTGCCCAAGCTACTCACTTCTGCTTCTCTGCCTTGTATTGCTGCGTGCAGTCATCGAACAGCTTCTGGTTCATCTCCATGAACAGCTTCAGGGCATTGTAGATCAAGCCATGGATCGTCCTGCAAAGAAGATGGAAGAGGGATACTAGGTCACAGGTAACATCAAGGTGCCTGTCCCTTATCCTGTTGGGAGGGAGACAGACATCACTTCTGCTTGTGAGAGCTTGACCAGAGCCCTTCCTGTGGTCCCTGTACTCAGTGTGAAAAGAACTGAGACCTGAATCCATTTGATTATTCCACAGGGCGAGGGACCTCTCTTCACAGTGACTGGGGCTCAGTTCAATGGAGCCGTAACTAGTAATGCTGCTGCGTTGGTGGTTCCCAACACAGATGTCAGCAGGAAATCAGCATTCAAGTCTCCAGGGCCTTTCCTATTGGGCATCACATAGTCGAAGTAGCTAGAGATGGAAGAAGCTGGGGGACAGCTTGGGGATTTTCCCTACAGGGCTTTGTTCAACACAGTTTTAAAGCTGCGTGTGATGGGGGTTTGCAACGTACCAGTCGGATTGTTTGATTTCCCCACATGGCTTCACTCCATTAGCTCAGTTACTGTGTACAGCAGCCGCTGCAGCAAACTGGAATGTACACCACCTCTGAAGGAGGGGTACTTAATAGCAATTTGGAACCGGGAACTAGTGCTCTGTGCACTGAGAGAGCAAGCCACCTCCGCCTCTGGTGTCAACGATGCTTGCATTGTGTCACGCCTTATTCACACTACACTGTAAGCTCGTGGGGCAGGGACTGTGTCTTGTCTGAAAGTGCCCTGCCTGTTTATGGTGCTGGGAAATCAGAACACAGATTGGAATCATGCCCAGAAGCAGCATGGGCTAGTAACACAAGGGATGCAATCTGGCTCCTGTAAGTCACCTCACCTCTCTGTGCACCCTCCTCAGCCAGGAAAGAGGACTCAGGATGCTAATTGCCTTTGGGAACAGTTTGCAATAAGGGGATAGCTCCTCAGTGTTATTTTTTGACACACAAAGTGACTGAGTTGGGGGAAGGAAGGGGAGAACTTCTGGGTCCCTCAGCCCATTCTGGGAAAACAAGGGTGGCAGTGAGAAAGCTCTGAGAGAAAGCAGGACTAGTAGAAAAATACCATCACAAACTGGAAAGAGGCAGAAACAAAGTAAAAGAGCTGTCCTGTGCTGCTCCTGGGAAAGTACCAAGAGAGAAAGGCAGACAAAGAAGGGGGAAGATTAGACAAATGAGAAAAGAAACCTCAGAACCCCTGGAAATGGCTCTGTCAAGTGGTGCAAAGCACATTTCTGAATCATGATGGGAGAAAGGTGGGCCAAACTACATGAAGAAGTGCATGAGTGAGAAGTACTGGTGTGAAAGCCAAGGCCACAGTTACTATTTCCTTTCCTGTTGGTGAGCTTAACATTTACCCTGCCCCTTAAGGTGAGCTGCAAAGGGAACAGTTAGGTTTGTACCTCTTTCTGATTCTTTATGGTGAAGAGGCGAGCGAAAGCAGAAACAGACAATGGTGCAATAGTTTGCAAACAGTTTTTATTCTGCAGCCAATTTCTCTGTATTACAGACACACTGAATTCCAGCTCCATCAAGCTCCCCCTAAATTGTATTAAAAGTGCCCCAGTTTTGCCTCTTTCCAGTGTACAGAGAAGGCCCAGGGGCAGGGGGAGGGAGGGCTTTCCTGCCTTCTCTCCCCCCACAGAAATATCAGGAAATGCCCCCTCCCCAGGCTTCAGAGCCCAAGCCTGAACATTTACACAGCTATTTTTAGCGCTGTAGGGCAAGCCTAAGCTCTGAGACTTGCTGCCGCAAGTTTCTGCTGGCCCTGCAAACGTACCCTCAGGGGTCTCAGATGTGTGGTGTGAGCTTCCTAAGTCATTCACCCAAGCAACAGGGGGTTCAGTCTTTTAACTCTCTTAACCCCTATTTAACTGAAACAGCTAACAACAGTTGGAGGAAGAGCTGAGTGGTGGGAGGGTCACATGAGGATCTGGTGCCAAGCACCAGTGTGAAGACATTTGCAGCAGTACAACTGTCCTGCGGGTTGTGCTGTCTCAGTGCTCTCTCTGTTACCTGGCAGCTGGAGACACCAGACCAGCACATTCACCAGTGCCTCTGTTCAGCCCTGCAGGCCGCAGCGCTCCGTGGCTTGTGAAACTGGGCTAGACAATCCCGACACACCTACCAGTCAGACTCCAAGGGCTAGAGATATCAGTCATCTAACGGACTGGGTTGGCTGAACAGCCACCCAAAATGACGTGTTCAGGCCCAGGCTGCTGTCGTCTCCTTGGATCTTTCAGATCTAGTATACCCATCCCCTTGGTATCTGAGCTCCACGCCTCCTCTCTGTCCCAAAGCCATCAGCAGCACCACAACGTGCCACCGCAGCCGTGTGCTAACAGCACCCCTGCAGCCAGCAGCAGGCTTGCGCGATCCTGGATGCCCACTCACTCATTCCTAATGGCCCCCGGACACACAGAAAGGACTTACTTGTTCCAGTGACTCTTGGAATTCTTGTAGAGTGCCGGGAACATGATCGGGAGAATTTTGGCTGCGTTGTCGCTGATCAGGCTCATGATGTACTCATTGTTCCAGTAGTACAGAGCTCGCTCTGCCACCTGCAGGAGGAGGGAAGCAGATCTCTGTACAGGCTCCTTGCAGACAGGTCATAGGGTGCATGTGAGAATTCCACTCATCACCAACCAGGCAAAAGTTCTGGCATTACCCAGCCAAGAAATCAGACTCGACAGTGCTCCGGCTGAGGAGCTTGTCTTTGCCACCTCTGGCAATGGTCCTCTGCCTGGAGAGACCCATCCCTTGGTTTCCGGTCTTTCCTAGTTTACATTCTGCTGCATTTACACCAAGAGCTCCTCCTCTCCGTGTGCAGGTCGGGTCCTCAGGGCTATGCCTTGGGTAGCCTCATTTGGTCACATGACTTCAGCTGCTATTGTTATATTGATGACTCTCTTTTCAGTCACATCTCCAACAACTCTTCCTCATACTGTCCAGCCTCTAGCCAAAGCTCAACAAGGGCTACAAATGGAGTTCTTTCCTCCCTAGAATCTCCCCTCCCCTCCCCTCCCAACAGGGGCATCCCTCTGTGTTCTCTCTTCCTCCTGACCCTCCAAACTGACATCACTGCTAAGCCTGGTCAGTTTCTCTCCACTACTGTCTGTCCCCAACTTCTTGTCCAGGTCCTGACCATGTTTCACCTCCCTCACGGCAACTTCCTTCCCTTCAACTTCACTCTCTTCAACCAAAAATGCTGTCAAAACCTTTTCCCCTGCCTGCTTCTCTGACCACATAAGACCCTTCCGCAAATCTCTCCCAAGGCTCCCCTTTGCTCTCCGTACAAAACTCAAGTCCCTTGTCTTCACCTTTGGGTTCTTGCACAAATTGGCTCCCACCTTAATGTTCTTGTCTCTCTCTGCTCCCCGGACCACCTTCCATATAGCTCCCGAGGCTAAGACTCCTCCCTGACCTGCTCTCCAGTTCCTTTACCCTCTCCCCCTTATGCTATGCCTTTACTGCACACTTAACCCTGGTGACTGGCACTCAGGTCTCAGCACTGGGTTAGCCTATCCTGAGTCTGAGGATCCCCACTGCAAAGGCCCATCTGTGTTACTATGTCCTCATTATTTCTGCACTCGCCCGTGTGTGTCTGGGGAGATATCCCATGGTTCTTTATCGGAGACACTCTATGATTCTGTCAACTGTGGGAGAACCTGTTGGTCCTTCAGTGGGACTGTGGGAATGGACTGGAGGACTATGTTCCAGCTTGAGTTAAAGCAGAGCTCAGGTTCTAACCCCCCCCGGAGGTGGGTAAGCTAAGCCCAGGGTTAAAGCACCTCCAATCCCTGTGTGGCTGTATGGGGACTCTGGGCTAAAAGTCACATAAGGGCCTGGGTTAACTGTGCAGTAAAAATTTATCCTATGAGGGCACTTCAGCAACAGTCCTCACCCTTCCTTCAGGGAAGAGAGAAGAAACCTTCTCTCTCAAAAAACCCCAAATGAAAAACAAAGCAAGCCTGTGGCTCTATCACGCCAGGTCCCTGCCCATTCTCCCTGCATGTCCCTGCTCAGCTGCAGCATCATAGATTTAAGGCCAAAAGGCAACATTGTGATCATTGGGCCTGACCTCCTGTAGAATACAGGCCATAGCATCCAGTAATTCCTGCTCTGTGGTTGAGCTGGAGTATATCTTTTAGAAAGACATCTAGCCTTAAGACTCCAAATGATGAGGAATCTACCACACCCTTAGGTAAGTTGTTCCAATGGTTAATTACCCTCACCGTTAAAAAAAAAAAAAAAAAGAGAGAGAAAGAAAAGAAGAAAAAAAAAAAGAGAGCCTTATTTCTGATCTGAATTTATCCAACTTCACTTTTGAGCCATTATATCTTGTTATGCCTTTGTCTGATAGATTAACAAGCCAGCTATCAGACACCTCTTCCCCACAGAGGCACTAGACTATGACCAAGTCACCTCAAACTCTCTGATAAGGTAGTCTCTCGCTGTAAGGCAGTGTTTTCCTCACAGATCTTTATTTTCATAGTTCTTTTCTGAGCCCTCTTCATTTTTTCAATATTACTGGACACCAGAATGGGACACTATATCCCGGAATGGTCTCACTAATTCTGTCCATATGCAGAGGTAAAACTACCTTCCTACCCCTCCTCAATATCCCCTGCTAATACAGCCGAGAATTGTATTACCCCTCTTAGCCCACAGCACTGCACTGGAAGCCCATGTTCAGATGGATTTCCATCATGTCCCTAAGTCCTTTTCAGAGTCCATGCTTTCCAGGATACAGGCCCCATCCTGTCAGTGTGGCCTACAGTCTTTGTACCCAGCATTTGGCTGTATTAAAATGCATGTTATTCAGGTGACCAACTGGTCCAGATCAATCTATACAATTGACCTGTCCTTTTCTTTAGTTACCACCCCACCAATTTTTAGGTCACCAGCCAGCTTTACCAGAAATGATTTTATGTTTTCTTCCAGATTGTTGATAAAGATGTTGAATAGCACTGGGAAGAGAACTGACTGGTGTGGAACCCCAGCTGATGATTCCATTTACAATTGCTTGTCGAGATCTATCAGTTAGCCAATTTTTAATCCATTTAACATGGGCCACAGTGACTTTGTACCGTGTCAATCTTCAGATGATCATGTGGGACTAAATCAAATGTCTCACAGATATCTAAGCAATTTATGTCAACACAATTACCTTTGTCAACTAAACTTGTAATATCATAAAAAAAACCTGTATCACATTAATTCAAGAAGACCTATTTTCCACAAAACCCATGCTGATAGGCATTAATTATTTTGCCATCCTTTAATTCCTGACTTTCTTGATGCATGCCTTCTTTTGTGTGGTGTCTACCTACACTGTGAGTTGTGTGGGGAACAGACCACCTCTTTGTATGTATCTGTGAACCACATGTCACACTGATAAACAACAAGAGGCAATGCAGCGGAAGGGTGTGGAGAGGAGCAGCTGCTGAATGGCTCTATCCCAAAAATACCAGGCCTGCCTCTCAGCACTGTATCATGGTGTTAACATTTCCACCTTCCCCAGCTCCCCTTGGGTGTCCCTAAAATGGAACCATCAAGTGACCATGAAGATCTTCCATCCTTTCTGCTCTCTCCCTCTTCGATCTCCACAATGGATGATCTGCTGCCCCCAGAACCAGGCCAGTGCAGTGCAAGGTATCCTTTCTGCGGGCGTGCAACACTGGGAACACTCATAAGAACAGAGAGTCTCATTGGCTGATCATCCTCCAGTGCGGTAGACAAGTAGATAATTTGATCTCAAAAGGGCCTGGGCACAGTACTCAAGGACATGAGGAAGCTGAATGGGGCCCATCTCCCCACCCCCCGCATCAGATCAGCCACTTACAAGAGGCAGCACAACATACCTGCGTTAGCTCCTCAACATTGTAACACTCAGAGCTGGGGAAAACACGATCGGTAGCTTGGGATGACATTCATAGTCCTACTTTTCCTAAACTATTGGTCTGGTGGCTCACTAATGCCTCCTGTTTTTGTGCCATCCTCAGGAGTTATCCTGATCACTAGAGGAGTCTATGGTAAATTTTGTGGCAGCAGTGATCACAGAAACATGCTCCAGAGTCTCAGATTCACCCTAAAAACAGGACCTGAGTGCAAAGCAAAGCCAGATGGTCTTGCTGAGCCTGGAACCTACCTGGAAGTGTGGGCTGGACACACACTTGGCCAGCTGCCTGAACAGGGGCTCCATGACCTTCACAAACTCGGAGGGCTCGATCACATCCAGTATTTCCTCCAGCTCGTTCAGAAACATCACCTCCTTGGGACTGTGCGTTTTCGGCCAAAACTTCAGCAAGCCCACAATCACCTGAGCAGGTAAAGAAAGGAGCTTAGGAGCAGAGTGCAAACCTACTGGCAGTACTGTCTAGCACCCCCGACCACAGAAACCCAGCACAGCCACGTCCCACACACAGCAGCAGACGCAGCACGCAGTGCCTGTACATATGGACTCAGTCTCTGACTCATTCAGGTTAGGCACACAAAACACCAGCTCCTTCATGCCTCTGAACCCCACCCCCTTCCCCATAGCTCTGCATCCAGAGAGCCTCCACCAGCACAGAGGTCTCGAACTGCTCTGTCCTCCCAGACCTTAGGAGGCACTAAAGAGGGCTCCATCAAGGTATTTGTCCCTCAGAATACCAGTGTCCAGGGCAGTCCTTTGAACTATACGAGACAGGACAGGCACTGGGTGAACTCTCTTCTGGACTCTCCTCCTCAACTCGGAAGGAGCACAGCTTCCCTTGCTGCTCCTCTCTCCTCTCCCTACCTTGCCAGAGCCACTGACTACCTCTCCAGCACACGGATCCTCTGGGCTGCAGACCCAGAAGCTGAAGGTACCTATACCATCCGGCACCTATCCCCACGTTTCCCTGCAGGCAGCCTGGACAGGATCTGGCTGCACAGAGAGATGGAGTGCATAGATGCTGGCTGTGACCAGGAGTGCCACCTAGCAGCAGCCATAGATCCTTCTTCCCTGGCTACACCCTCTTTGTTCTGCTCAGCTTCTCATCATTCCCGCCAGCGTGGTGGCTGACAGCCTTCTCAAGCTAGGGCACTAAGCAGGGAGACTACTTCCCCCGTCCCCTGCTCCTTCCCAGAGGAAAGCTGCATGGGTAATGAGTGGGTTTTCTGGTAATTTGGACTAAAAAGTTCCTTCTGACCCCAGCTTTACCCATTTTGGGACTAGCCCATGTCCTAAGGGTTCAGACTATACAGGGAAAAGTGATCATCGCCTGCTTTTCACTCTGTCCCCATGAGAACAAGGGGCCACTCAAAGTGACATGCTGGTGAATAGAGAGCAACAGAGAGAAATTCTGCTTCCAGGGGAATGCAGCTGCCATGTGGTGCTCACGGCTGCAGGAGACTCATGACAGGGACTGGAGACTTTTACGAACAGTCATGTTTGTTATAGGGATGCTGAGACTCGGATGATCCAAACTGATGCTTCTGGGTGTAAACTAATCACCATGGGGTCAGAACGGAAGTTCTCTTCCACATGCAGGAGTGTACCACTTACTGAGTGTAATATGGGGGGAGGGGATGGGCATGGGTGGTGTCCACTGTCACCTGAGGCATCAGGTATTGGCAGGGGAGGGATACTGGACTCAACGTACCATGATCTGGCTAACCTATTGTCCCAAGAGGGATGTGACAAATCCATTGAATGCCAAATACCAACACTTGGTACCTTTAAAGTCAGAATCCAGAATACACTGAGTGAAAGTTTTAGCCAGTCACTTCCAAATCAAATCTCTTTCTGAAACAGATACAGCCACACGCTGCAGAGTCTGCAATTTGAACACTGATTTGGGAGAGATGCATTGCATGAAAACTGTACATGCTGGCTTCAAACAGAATGCTTTGCAAGAGCAGTTCTCCTAACTAACATTGTTTGTAGTTCAACAACCGGGGTTATGAAGCCGAAGTGCCAGTGGATGTTCAGAGAGAGCTTACAGGCTGTTCAGATAGCACTGGTTAAAGCTGAACACAACACTCATGGCTGCAGTGCCTGGTTGGTGCTGCACAACTGAAAACATTTTGGAAACACCAGTCTTTCAGCAATTCCTAGGAGAAGCCTGAAATGCTGAGCTTAGCCCAGGCAAGCAGCCTGAGGGAACAGTAGTGGGCACAGAGGCAGCAGCAAGAGGAAGGCTGCTTGCATGATGTTTCCACCATTCCAAGGGCTCAGCTATGCAGGGACAGCTCGGTGTCCACAGCACTGGTAGTTTTGCCATGCAATCAATCATTCGTTTCAGCGACTCCAAAGACAGTTTTCCCTAGAGCTAAGGTTGGGCGAGATGCACAGGAGCTGGTCTTTGCTTTGTTTGGTTATCACTAATACTGCCATTCTGGAGCATGTTTTATTCAGCAAGATTTGGTATGGCAGCTCTTGCATTATGACTCAACGAAGGACAAACAAGGCAGGGATCAAGCAAACAAGCACCACATGAGGCCCCTGGTTACTAAGGCTTGGACACTTTCACACAAACACAGTGCGTTCTGTGAGGACGCTGCCTTGTCTTCACAGAATCTGTTTGGTCAGTGCCTGATACAATGCACCTTGCAGTGAGTGGGAGTCCTACCATGGGCACTGAATCAGGCCTCTGCTCACTGATTTGCAAAATTCAGTAATGAGTGTTTGAGTCATCGGTAAGGATCTACCGAGCTTCGCTGTGTGAATGCACAGCGAAAACCCTGCAGAAATTCTCTGCTTCCCTCCCCCATCTCAGCAGCTCCAATACTTTGAGTGGCAGGCTCAGCTAGATCTCTCTTGCCTGGGATCAGCAGGGCGGTGAATTACCTGGCACAGGAGACATATGATTCGCCTGGCAATGAGAATATGGATGACTTGGGGGAGTGAGTGGGAGGGCAGGAGGAGGCCTATTTCCAGAACATGCAGTATGGGAATGCTGGAGCTAGAATGTGCAAATGGCTGAACACAGACAGGCTCATTGTCAGTGTGCAGCTTTGCCAGCTCAGGTGCAAAACAACCCAAGTTGTAAATATTAGTAATTAAAATGCCATTTCCATGCATGAGCCAGTAGCTGTCTCCCAGAGCTGAGCCGGTGTAGAACAGAGCCACGTGAGGCATTTCTCCGCACTCTGCCCTGAGGAGTGGAGCCCTTGATCGTCCTCTCACACCCTCTGTCCCGCCAGCATTGTTCTGCTTAGTGTTACTTAGTTTGGGTCTGCAGAGCCACAATGCAGGAAACACATCTGGGCCCTGTTTGCACTAGAGCACCATCTTGTGAAAATTTAGTCTTCAGCAGCATTACAACTTGACGGCAAACACAGCTGTCAGGATTCAATGTCCCGGAGGTGAACTGGCTGGAGGGGATATGATACTGAGGCTCCAACAGCTCAGTAAAACAAAGCCCAGCCCCTCCACAAGGGACAGCTCACCCAGGCTAAACAGACCTTTCTGGTCTCCAGTTTCCACACCCTCGCCCGTAGTCTTCCGACCAGCTCTAGGGGGTTTGGATTGAGATCTCAAACACCTGCACTTCTCTATCAACTCTTGCTGGTTTCTTCGGATGTCCAATTCCCAATCATCTTCTCATGGCAGAAGCTGTGTAGCCAGAAGGGGAGCTGCCACGGGAGAGGGGGTCTTTGCATGCTTTGCATTCTGCTATAGCAGGACTGGAATCACACAAGACAGACTCACTCCAAGCTGTGCTACACTTGCTCATGTCTCGTTTCCAAACTGAGCCTGCTCAGACCCCCAAAGCCTGCCTGGCTGTGCATGATGAGACTATCTAGTCCTGCCCTGTGCTTGTGACATGTCAGATGACCGATACTCCTCTGCAGGCCAGTTCCAGTGAGCGAACAAATCCAACTTATGCCAGGTCTCTCTGGAGTGGGGTCAGAGTAACTTAGCTGCTGAAGTGTCCAGAAATGATCTTGTGATGTGAACTGGGGCCATGGCTGACATGACAAAGCCAAGCAAGGGCACTCACCGGTTCTGTCAGGCTGCTGTCTTTCTCCAAGAACTGCACAACACAGTATGCCAACTGCAAGGAAAACACAGCCCAGTTAGAGCTCCTCTCTTGGCTAAGCAGACGGCAAGCAACAAGCACACAAGGCATCAGCACTTACCACGGCCCTTGGCTGCGTGCCAGGTCAGACCTGCTCCAGCTGGTGTGCCTGACAACCTGCAGCAGCTCAAAGAGTGTATAAGCCCCAGTGACTCATAGCGAATGGTGAGCTTGTCTCCGTTAGGCCAAGCAGAAGAACCCTGGGCTTTGGGAGCCAGAAGCCCCGAGTTCTGTCCCTCATGTTGCACTAGGTGTCGTTTGTGGCCACATGTTCACAACAAGCAGGCAGCACACTAGCGAATCTGTGGCTACAGACAGGTAGATTAATAGATTCTAGGGCTGGAAGGGACCACTGTGATCATTTAGTCTGACCTCCTGTATAACACAGGCCACAGGACTTCCCAGAATTAATTCCTGGGTGAACTCGAGCAGATTTCTTAGAAAAACATCCCATCTCCATTTAAAAATTGCCAGTGACAAATTGGGCAACTGAAAAGCCTTCCCCCTCTCATGGTCAGGGAAGTAACAGGATGCAAGAGAGCTTCACCATTCAGATCCGGGCTTTTGTCCCATCTTCTCCCTAGATCAATTGCTACATAGGTAAGGACCTTGTCTCCATATCTGTCTAAGTACACAGCACGCACACACAGGGGCTGGGCAATGGAACTCAGGGACTTCAACTCTCTGAATACAAGGGAAGCAGTGAGTAGCAGATATTTAAGGATAAGGCCCAAATAGTTACAGGTAGTTAGGCGTTCTGCACTCAGCGTTGTAATGCCTAACTGATTTAGGAGCCTAAATCTAAAGAGATTTAGGCACTTAGGAGTCAAAATTCCATTGATGGTTGATGGGATTTAGGCTGCTAAATCAGTCAGGCATTGCAATGCTGAGGGCTGCAACGCCTAAATACGGCAAAAACCTGGGCTGAAATCATCCATGAGCTTCCAACAGTCGAGGATGAGTCGGCCTGACGTTCAAACCAGCAGAGGACAATGGAACATTCTCACACTGCCCAGGAGCAAGAGGAAGCAAGTTAACAGACAAGGGTGAAGGAGGCTGGGGACTGACAGCTCAAAGCACATGCTGAGGGATGAGCGGTACAGTCAGGCGTCAGAGGGGGTGAACGTACAGAGGCAAGAACCCCTGCAGCAAGATTTTGATAAGTAAAGCCTGGTGGTGCCTGTAAATAAGCCTGACTGTTTGACCTCTCCGGTAACTGACAGAGCCTCTCACCTGTGGGTGGTAGACACTCAGCGATTTCACCTTGTGCAAAGGTAGCAAGACCCGAATGAGGAACATCTTGTGCTCTTCCTTCAGAGGCAAAGCGAACCCATTGATTATACTGAGTAGGAGAAGGGAGAGAGGCATTACGGGGTCAGGTATTACTGAGTATGTACCAGAACAATCACAGTATAAAACCAGCCCCAAGCCCTACCATACCATATTAACATCTCCAGGAAACACCTGGCTTCAGGGCTGCAGTCACTAAGGTCCCAGCCCCAGGGGATCCTGAAAATGTGTCCTGAAAAGCACATTCCCTCCAATGAAGGCCCCATCACATGCAGGGTGGGAAACCCCACACCACAGGGTGAGCTGGTCCTTTAAGAGGGTTGGGGTTCAGCTGCCCCCATGCCACACTTAGCTCCAGGTGGAAGAGAGGAGTTCTGCAGTAATATGTCAAGGATCACATGATTAAGCCAGGCCTGCCGGGGAACCGAACTGAGATGGACTCCGGGGTGAGAAGCCCTGGCAGTTATGCTCTACAGAAGAGTAGGAGGACTGGAGTGTTGGAAGAGACCCTGGGAAGGAGATGCAGAGCGTGGTTGAGGCTATGGGGCAGAAAGCCCAGCTGTTCAGAGTTCCTGGGCTGGGATTCCACATAGGTGGGCAGGTGTGGGTCCCTCCTATGCTGCCACTTGGCGTGGGGATGCAGTGACCTCTAAACAGAAGGGATATGGAGAGACTGTGCAGAGCCCAGCAGAAGAGTGCCTGGGGATGAGACGACAGGCCCTTGGGAAGGAAGGGCTGTGCCCAGACTGGGGAGGGGCACTCTTTACTTGTGCGTGTGTTTGGACTCTGATACCCGAGAAGGAGAAGACTTTTGTAAATAAGCTGGAGAGCTAAGTCAGCTCAGCAACCCAACTGTGCTGGAAGGCTGAGAGGATCAACATGTCTGAGGGGAAACTGAGGCAGCAGATGGGCCTGAAAGCAGATTGGTAGGTCCCTGCTACACCACACAATACACTAGGCCGTGAGGTCCCACCCGGCTCAGAAGCCCTGGAGCTCCTAGATGTGGCAGAAGAAACACAGAAAGGGAGAAATGCCCTTACCTGCCCAAGATCTCCAGCAGCTCTGCAATCCCATTGTGATGCTCTGTTTCATAGATAAACCTGAGAAGAAGGGTTGGGGATGGGAGAGGAGAGGAGTCATTGCCAAGCACAGGACACAGCTCAGTAAGGAGAATCCTCCCAGAAAGAGATGACAGAGGATTCAGGAAGAGACAGTATTGTCCGCACTCCAGGACGTGCTACACAAGAGTGGGTAAGGGATCAGCCCAGGCTCCCAGATCAGCAGAGGGCTGCTGTGGGGCATGGCAGGGGGAAGATAGCCCTACCATTTCCCACATTAGTCAGAGGCATTCTGCACTACTGAATCCTCAATATCCCTGTAGCACAGGCAAGTACTATTCCCATGTCCAGAGACACGACCTGACTCGCCCAGTCACTGGCGGGGCTGGGAACAGAAGGAATGCTCCGGCTTTGCTTTCCCCAGGTCCTCCAAGCCCGTTCCCAGCATCGCTGGGCCTGACAGAGCCCCTCACCTGTAAAATATGTTGTTGATCTGCCGCCTCACATACGCTCGCAGGCCCAGGAACTTCCCGTAAATTCGGTGTAAGATGGTCTTCAGGAAGTCTCGCTCTCTGGGATCTTCACTGTCGAACAAATCCAGCAGCTGTGGAAAGAGGGATTCAGTTAGTCCTGAGGCTCTCTCCCCTGGACACGGGCTGCTGATTGCACAGGGAAAAGCTTCTGCTCATCAGCGTAAGTATGTTCCAGTTTGGAGCACACCCCTCTGCACGCAGTGCACGCTGCTGCCTCCGCACGGTCAGCCATGTCTATCGTCGCTAGCAGCTGCTCAGACTCCTGTAGCAGAGCAAAGGCTATGCCAGTGCAGGCTCCCGAGTCCTGAGTCCACCTCTCCTTACGCAGCCCAGCTCTAGGGCAGGGAAACCCTTGCTGCTCTCCCAGTTCATCAGGGACCTTCTCTTTGGAAGCAGCTTCTAGAGTGAGTTTCAATGGTGGCAACCCTGCAGGTTCCCCCAGCACTGAGCATCCCCAAGAGCTCCTCCAGTGAGGGCATGAAGGAAGGTGGAGCTGCCCAGGCACTGCCTAAGAATGGCCCTCCTGGGTCAGACCAAAGGTCCATCAAGCCCAGTATTCTGTCTTCCGACAGTGGCCAATGCCTGGTGCTTCAGAGGGAATGAACAGAACAGGGAATCCTCAAGAGATCTATTTCCTGTCTCCCATTCCAGCTTCTGGCAAACAGAGGCTAGGGACACCATTCCTGGCTAATAGCCATTGAAGGACCTATCCTCCATGAATTTATCTAGTTCTTTTTTGAACCCTGTTAAGTCTTGGCCTTCACAACATCCTCTGGCAAAGAGTTCCACAGGTTGACTGTGCGTTGTGTGAAAAAAAATACTTCCTTTGTTTGTTTTAAACCTGCTGCCTATTAATTTCATTCGGTGACCCCTAGTTCTTGTGTTTTGAGGAGTAAACAACACTTCCTCATTTACTTTCTCCACACCAGTCATGATTTTATAGTTCTCTATCATATCCCCCCTTAGTCATTTCTTTTTCAAGCTGAAAAGTCCCAGTCTTACTAATCTCCCCTCATCTGGCACCAGTTCCATACCCCTAATCATTTTTGTTGTCCTTCTCTGAACTGAGCCTATTACCCATCCTCTCTGAGAAAGCTATGGGGGCTGCTTGGGTAGTGATATGCAGGGTGCCTGCTAAGCACCCCTTCACAGGGGTCTGAGGTGGGGGGAAGCTGGAACTACTTACTGACAATACAAACTTCTGGTCAATGTATTTCTTGGCTATATTGGGCTGAAAGTCGGGCGACTCCAGAAACCGCAGGAAGAATTCGTACACCAGCTGAGGAGAGCAAGAGGGGGCTTTTTAAAAAAAGAAAAGCTTTACTTAATTCTTCATGCTTTACACGCGTCAACAATGTTCCTTTTCCCATCTGATTAGTAAAAGCCTAAAGATTTTTAATGGTGGCTTGTTACAGCAGGCGTCACCAGCGCTAATGTGCCAGGAAATAATTAACAGTTGAGAAGAGTTTTGTTAGCATCTGACCCGAGCCGCACCCCCTTTACCAACACAACATACATCCCTAGGTACGCTGCACCAACGGGTAATTACCCCACATGGTTACAAAATTGTATCTCATTTCCACTGTGAGTATTTCTCACTTCAGCTTGCAGCCACTGGCTCATCTTCTGCCTTTGTCTGCTAGATCAAACAGCCCTCTGCTAACAGATACCATCTCTGTGCGTAGGTACTTGCAGAACCTGATCTGATCAAGTTTTCTTAACCTTCTCTCAGAGCTCTGTCCCTAGATTGATTGATTTTTTTATTTTTTTTTGCTGCTTCCACCACATCCCCCTTTCCCCAGAATGCTACTCAGTTTTCAATTCCTATCTGTGTCCATGCCTGAGGAACAGTGGCTCTGTGTGCATGTAGAAGGGAGTCCTTGAGCACCTCCCAGTTTGTGCTCACACGTCTCTGCTGAAATGTTTGCTCCCTATCAGTTTTGCACATAATTATTTTTGCCGGTTAAAGTGTGAAGTAAATGGTCTGGGTGTCCAAGTACGGCTCTTATGGGGACCTAATAGGCCCCACCCACTGTGGAGGGCTTGAGGCTCCTGGCCAGCAGGCTTTGTGCCAGAGGGAAGCAGCAGCAGCAGCACTGGTTCCTCTCACGGGAGCTCTCTCTCACCCTCCTGGGCCAGAGGCAGGGGAGCAGAGGCTTGGGGCTTCTGAGAGAGAGAGAAAAAATAAAGGGGGGAGTCCCAAGGGTCCTAACTTCAAAAACACAAGACGCCCTAAGCTCCTTAGACTAGCCATTCATTCCCAGTCCGCACCAACATCCCTGGGGCTAAGCAGCACTCGCTTCTGGGAGGCTGCAGAATCCAAGGCCTCATTTCCTGTGCTGACCCCCAAAGAAAAGTAAAAGTATCCACAGAGAGAAGATATTTGAAATCTGTGCTTTGAAAACTCAGTACCTTCCTTCCCACTCCTACCTCTTGGTGTCTGTCACCTGGCCAGGCGGCCCCTTGCACTCCATTCACCCACCATGATCTGGAGATGAGGCTGGCAGACTCTCTTACCTGGAGATGTGGCCAGGCAGCTTCTAGTGTGGGTTCATCCTCCTCGGGGTCAAACTCTGCTCCTGTTGGATTGGACGAGGGGGGGAGGGTCCGGAAGAGGTTCACTGAAAACTGAAGTGAGAAGGCAGAGGAGTGACCTTTCCACGCCTTCCCTTTGGCCCACGGACTGACATTCTTGCAGTGCCGAGAGCTGAGGCTCTTTATAACTGTTCCCAAACACCTCCCGCTCTGGAGGCCAAAGGGTTACAGCTGCCATGCTGACGTCAAACACCTCCAGGGGTGTCTGTGCTGCGGACAAATGCTTTACGCTGCCCTATACCCGACCTATTCCCCGATCCTTCACGCACACACCCCAGTCATTCTCTGGATGGCTAATAAGGGTTTAAAGATGTCACAGTCATGTTCCTCCCAAGCAAGTTGTTCTTCCTCTCTCCAGCTGCCCCCACTTATGCTTCTCACTACGTCCAATTTCTAGGCATGCAGACAGAAGCCTCTTCCAGTCCTGACTGCCCTGGCACCTGCTGGGGGGCAATCACAGAAAACCGGCCATAGCCCTGCTAGTCCTACCATGATGACAGCTTCAGGGTAGATGGCCTCGGTGACGACATCCCGGTTGTGCGTGATGTACTCCACCATCTCATTGAGACCAGCTCGCTTCACCTCCTTGAACTTCAAGTCACTGAGCGGGTCGGAGATGAAGTCAAAGAGAACACAGCATTGTCGCAGCTTCTGTATGAAGAGCTCTTCTCGTTCATGAGCAGGAGCATCTGGCAGGGACAGCAAAGCACGTTTCACTCCTATGCTAACAACTCTTAACTATGGTACTTACACGGCCTCCAGTACTGTGGTATTCAAGAGCGTCAATGTGTAACTGTATTTATCCTCACGGGAGGCAGGGAAATGCTGTTATCCCCTTTATACAGATGGGGAACTGAGGCAGACAGACAGACTAAGGCTTTGTCTACCCTGGAAAGTGTTACCAGTTATACAGATCTAGTTATACACACACACACAGAGCAGACACTTGTATTCTGGTATATGAGTGGCTTCCCAAGCAATGTAATTTAAACTGAAAAGAGGCTCTCTTATATTGGAATAAGAGTGTCCACATGAGGGCTCTCATTTACTGTAGTCTGTGTAGCTTTCACCTCCTCTTAGGATATGCCTATACGGCTATCAAGGGGTGTGACTGCACCTCAAGTAGACACACTGAGCTGGCTTTAATCTAGCTAGCTGCAGGACTGCCACGAGCTAGCCCCATGACTAATTACCAGGATTCTGGCAGGCTCGGCCAGCCTACGCTGAAGCACGTACTGCCACGACTTCGCTGCGCTGGTCCCTGAGATAGTTAGATTAAAGCCAGCTCAGTATGTCCACTCAAGTCACAATCACCCCCTGGGATTGCAACATAGACACGCCCTGTGATAGTGCCACGTCACAACGTGAACTGAACTCACCTCTTACCTGCATCTGTGTTCTTCTCAGAACATGCAACTAGTGGCTGTGAGCGAGGCAGCAAGCAGGAAATAAAAGGCAGGTCCCTGCTCCCCAATAAGCAGCGGGATCTGGAGAGTACAACAGCCCGCTGCAGGGTGAGGGATGAGCAAGAGATGGTCACTGTGGTCTGGGTGGTCTCTACACTGGGGTTCCCAGTTGAGAGGGAGCTGAGAAAGCAGGTGAGCCAGGCTGGGAAGCAGCTCTGGAGGAACAACCGGATAGAATGTGGAGGCTAGAGTGGACGGCCCTTTTGCTGCATAGGGGCCCAGGTTTGGACCCCAGGGTAGAGTTAGGACGTAGACTGTCCTACTCCTCAGCTGTACCACCTTTGGAGGGGGAATGTAGATATGCCCCACAGTCCAGGGGAGGAGCTCTGTAAACCCCTAGTACCAAGGGGAAATGCTCTGAAAACTCCTGGGAGAAGCAGCACTCGCACACTGATGCTAAAGAGAGGGCTGTGGCTGGACCTGCTGGAGCCCCTGTCCCACTGGGAGAACACTCACGGGGTTCCTTTTGCTTACTCTGAAAGGGGAGGGCTCTTACTGTGGTTGCAGGGCTCAGCTACTGCCTATCACACCGACCAGTATTGTCTCATTGTTTGCTTGTACTTCCCATTTGTCGTCTCTTGTCCTGGGGCAGGGACTCTCTTTTTGTTCTGTGTTTGTACAGCACCTAGCACAGGGAGGGCCCTAGGCCCTATGGGAATACAAACAACAAGCTACCCTATCACCAGAGGGGGACTGAAGCAGCATAAGGACATAGCTGCAGCCAGACAGCAATGGGCAAGGAACCCTGGAACCTCAGTTGTGGCTCCTCACTGGAAGCTCTCAGCCCCCAATGGCTGAGGAAGTGGCAGCTGCTTTCACTATGGTACTGTAGGCATCAAGGCTAGCATGACTATTGCTGGGCTGTCTCCAAAGTGACGACTGGACTGTGGCTGTTCTGCCTCGAGACGGGTTCCAGTGAGCCGGGCAGACCTGAGACTTAGCAGACATACACACCCACAAACCTGCCATGTCATAGAATATCAGGGTTGGAAGGGACCTCAGGAGGTCATCTAGTCCAACCCCCTGTCCTTACCTTTGAGTGCAGGGAGCTTTTGCAGTTCCCTGTTTTTGCTCAGGTTGAAGCGGGAGGAGCTGTGCCGTCGCTCCTTCTTTACAATCTGGGGTCCTCCAGAATACTTGATCTTATTCAGCTGCGTTGGTGGTGGGGTGCTGTTACTGGGGCGCTTATTTGAAGTCGGTGGTGGCGGCTGCTGCTGCTGGACCTGACAGGGGAGATCAAGAAGAGAATAGGACAATCCAGAACCCCAGATCTCAGCTCTAGTAATCTGATACACAAGCATGTGGTGGGCTACAGTTTCACAGGTTGTTTACCAAGACAAGACACTGTCAGCCTCCTCTTGAACTGAAGAATCTAGCAGCTCGAATTATGGGGAAGAAACAGGGGGGCCTACACAATAACTCAGAGCAGGGTCCAGCAATCATGCCACGTATGCATGGCAACTACAGCAAGTTTGCGTCAATTCTGCGTTGAATGTCCCTCTTGATATCTGCCGCTGGGAGCATTCAGTCGACAATTCTAATCTTGGAGTGCTTCTTTTTCCCTTAACATTTCCATGTCTAATTTTAAAGTGCAGCATGTCCTACTTTTCCAATTAATCTATTCTGAATTCATTTAGAAAATAAAGAGTTAAAGCTGCCCCACACTGAACTGCAGGCAGAGCTACAGTCAGTGATTAATTTCTGCAGTATTCACGATCTGGAGGATGCCTCTTTCTGACATTCCTTTGTACATTTCTAGCAGTAAAATCAAAACTAGCAGTGTAAATTGCAGGGGGAGGAGGAGTCAGAAACCAAATCGTGCTACCCTCTGTATTTTATCAACCTTGACTTGTCATTAATAGCTAACTTTCTTCTGTCTCCTCTCCCTGCTTGCATAAACTTTTGTAACTCATTTCCCCCACCAGCTGACGGGGTGTGGGTTATTTCAGTTCTGAAGTGTCCACATTTTTGATGTCACAAAACAAACGTCAAAAAGAGTGCAATGGGTTTCCCCTCCTGATGAATATTCTGGCCCAGATTTTCCAAGAGCCAGTGCCCAACCCCTACCATTGAAGCACCTAAGGGACCAGATTTTCCAAAGAGCTCAGAACCCAGGAGCGCTCAATGGGACTCTGGACACTTCATTTAAGAGCTTATCTTTTAGGAAAATCTGGCCCACTGTGGTCCAGATTCTGCCCTCATTTACATGCACCTGACCCTGGAATGCATTTTCCTCATTTTTCTGTTCCTGAGCCCAATCCTGAAAACTCTTCCTCACCTGAGTATTGCCACTGACTGCAGTGAGGGGACTGGGTGGGTAAGGACTACTTGTGTCAGGATCAGGCCCTCTGTATGCCTCTGTATGCCTTTACTCCAACTCCAACCTCAGGCTCTTACGCTGATGCCCTAACTGCATAAAAGCAACCTGTCTGGTCACCCCCACAGTTGTTTGTGGGGTGCTTTCCCTCACTGTCTTGCTCCCAACACTGGGCTCGCCGCCACCCCCCACATCCCAGACTGAACCCAGCCCAGGTGAGCCAGGAGGAGGAAGGACACAGACAGGGGTTGGACCCCTGCAGGAGGACAGGACTCCACTCGAGGGGGGCCAAACAATGCCACCCCAGGGAGAAGAGGGGGCATCAGGGTGGGTGCTCTGCATGAGGACCGGGGGGAGGTCGGGGTGTCAGGGATAGGAGGCGGCAGAATGGGTGCTCTGCATGGGGAGCAGGGACAGTTGGGGGCCAGGGACAGTGCGGGCAGGGTGGGTGCCCTGCATGGAGAACGGGGGGAGGTCTGGGTGTCATGGATAGAAGGAACAGGGTACGGTCAGGGTTTCAGGGCTAGAAGGGGTCAGGGATAGAGGGGACAGGGTGGGTGCTCTGCATGGAGAGTGGGGGGGGGAGGTCGGGGGTCAGGGATATAAGGGGTTGGGAGCTCTGCATGGGGGAGCAGGAGGAGGTCAGGGCTACAAGGGGGCAGGGTGGGTGCCCTGCATGGGGAGCGGCAGGAGGTTGGGGTGTCAGGGATAGAAGGGGGGCAGGGTGGGTGCCCTGCATGGGGAGTGGGGGGAGGTCGGGGTGTCAGGGCTAGAGGGGGGCAGGGTGAGGTCAGGGTGTCAGGGCTAGAGGGGGGCAGGGTGGGTGCCCTGCATGGGGAGCGGGGAGGAGCAGCTGGGTCCAGGCTGGGAAGAGGGGTCCTGGCCATTCGTGTCTCTCTCCCCAGAGGCTGCTGCTCTCAGTCTCTGCCTGATCCCCGCAGTTCCTACTTTCTCCCTGGCCCAATCGCAGGCACTGCAGTGGCCACTCCAGCTCCTCTGTGTCCCACTCCCACCCTCACAGCAGCCACTCAGCCCTGCCCAGCCTGAGTCACCAGCCTGGCCCTGGCAGCGCCCGCTCCTGGGGAGAGGCACAGTGTGTGACATGTGTGGTAAATGGAACACTTGTAAGAGGGTGGCCAAAACACCTCCCCACCACCGGTGCCTTTGAATCAGGCACAAGTGAGGTAGCCCCTAAACATCGCAAGGCCAGCCCAGCCCCCTGTAATTCGAGCACTGAGGTTTCTCTGTTGTCCCTGCTCCTGAGCACATCCTACAAATCCCTGCATCCCTACCGGCCAGTCTGTTGTATTTATAGCACCCGTGCAAAATAAAACTCACTCGCTGGGTGTGTCCAGACATACCACGGGATAGCAGCCTCTGCTGCAGAGCTCACAGCCTAGGTTTATGTCTCTTGTATCTTGTCAGAGAGGGGGCACGAGAACTTTCTGTGCCACCAGTAGCAATCACCCAGCTATTGCCAGAGTCCTGTGTGCATGACAGCACAAGGAACCCCTTAGAACCATGAGATGGTAGCTGGGGAGACAGTGTGAAGGGACTTGGAGAAGGAGCCCAAAAGGTGGTACAGAGCGGCCTGGATACCAAGGCGAATGCTCCAGAGACAGAATGGGATGGAGACTGGATCAGTCTAAAACCCGCTTTGCTCTGCTCCTTTGTTGTGAGAGCAAAGGAACTGCCCCCAAGCCAGCAGCCATTCCTCCATGCTGTACAGTCATTGCCTACTTGGCCTCACTCTGCCCAACCCAGACACTGCTCTCTTCTGCAGCCTTGCTCTTTGTGCCCTCTTCCATGGTCGGCCTTGCAGCTGAGAGCCTCTCTCTGTGCAAGCCACCTGTACACCCCTCTCCATCTTCTGCCCCCTACTCCACTAGGGCCTGTTGGAAGCACCTAGGGACATAAGTGCTGGAACTAGGGGTGCAGGAGGTGGTGCAGCACCCCCTGGTTTGAAATAGTTTCCATCATATCTAGGGTTTACAGTTTGGGTCAATGGCTCTCAGGCCCCCCACTATACACATTGTTCCAGCCCCCCCGCCTAGGGAGACCCCAGACATCTACAGTATCTACCGAGCACAACATCACATGCAATAGCACCAGAGGATGTGCCAGGATGAGGAGCTGCTCCACCCCACCAAACCTCCATCACACCACTTCTGCCTCTCCTGTGAGTCCTTGTCCCCTGAGGCCCCAGTAAGCTACCCCATCCCTGATGCTCAGAGGTGCTGCCCAGCACGTGGACTCAAGGGGCAGAGGGTGTGAGGCAGGCCAGGCTGGATGTGGGGTACCCCATCATTAACCTCTTTCCACAGTGAAGTTTAAGTCTGCGTGTGTGGGAGCAAGGGATGGAAAACACAGGATTCCTGAAGTTGACACAGAACAGGACACCAGGCTTTAGAACTCCATCAGGGACACAACCCTGGGACTAACCAGCCCTCAAAGGCAATGGAGACTGGTCTGCCTGGGACAGCTACGCAATGAGCACAGAGAACGCAGGCCTAATGTTAACTTGCCACTGGACTCTCATATACTGGGGGCTGTCTGGCAATGCACAGAGCACGGCTGTCCAAGCAGCTCTCACGCACCACAGAGCAGATGTGTATGGCGCTGCCCATGCAGAGAAAGGCTCAGCTCAGAAACGGTGTGGCAACTCTTTTTCAGACTTGTTTCTTTGGTGGATTAATGTCAAAAGACCTTTCAAGAATGAGGTTTAGAGGGGTGCACTTGGCACAGGGAGGGATAGCCTGAAGAAAGAGAAAAGAGAAGAGCGAGGATACACCATTTCCACAGCTCAGCCATGAGAAGGGAGGATACAAAGGGGGCAGGTATGCAAGAAGTTTGTGGGGAGCAGTGAAGCAGGAGGAAATGAGAGCAGAGATGCAGGACAAGGTAGAGTTGTGCAGAACAGGGACCACGAGTTTTAGTGGAAGGAGAAAGGAAACTAATGGAGGGAGCTGGGGGACTGACATGATCAGAGCAGTGGGATGTCAGCAATGTAGGTGGAAAGCAGGCACCCACGAGGAAGCAATGGCAGTAACTGGAGTGGGAGATGACCAGAGCACAAAGGCTCTTAAAACCCATCCTTTCCAGCCTGGTTATAGGAGAGAATCCTGAGTGAGGGCTGGCAACCTAGATACAGGGAGAGGAGAGGTGGGTGACAGAGGAAGTGCTGGAGAAAGGACAAGGGGAACGAAGAAGAGCTAACAGCAGGACATCCAGAGAGAGATTTTAGAGGCACTTGGGTGCAAGGCTGAACAAGGAAGATCTGAGAGTCATCAGGGCAAAGGCGGTAACTGACCTCCCACCCCCTATAGCAGATGAAATCCTAGGAATAAGATGTAGATGGAAGAGAGACATGGTGGAGAAGTAGCCAAAAGGAGATCCTGAAAGAATAACTGCAGAGATAGGAATCACCTGCATCCTCCAGAAGCTTGGAGCAAAGGGGAGGAGGGAGATGAGATGCAGGTAGAGGTAAAAGGAAGGTTTGGAGACCAGGGCACACCTGACTGCTCAAGAAAACAAATCCTATGAGAGAGAGAGAGAGGAATGGGTGTCGGAGATAGTGGGAGTAGCAGAAGGGAAGGGTGCAGGGGACATGCCAGAGGATTAAAGGTTAGAGAGGCCCTTGAAGACTGAGCCTGAGGGAGGGAGGGACAGATGCCAGGTGGGCACAAGCACAAGCTGGCTAGACTTCCTGACAATGTCAGTGTGTTGCAGGGCAGAGGTAAGCCAGCAGCAGAGAAGAGATGATCCACACAAGGCACAGGAGGTGTTCAGCAAGGAGAGGCTGAGCCGTTTAGCAAGGAAGAGGGCGAAGAACAGAGGTCTCACCAAAGAGGCCTTCCCAGGCACTCAGTGGTGCAGGGGAGTCGTAGCGGACACATGGGGTGAGTG